CAGTCCCCTGCTCTTGATCACCGTGCGCTGCATCAATTGCACTACCCAATTATTCTGATTGATATGATGGCCAAGGGCCGAAGGTGACTATTTACATGAATTAAATGAGATTGAAATTTGCACTCCTCAGTTTTACCTGCTACCTTTCAAGCTCAGAGAACATTTCCATCTGATAGACAGTTCTATGGAACAGAGCCCTGGAACTGCGCAGTGCACAGCAGTGCTCGTTCTGAATTTTGCCTGTGGACAGCTTCTCCAGCCCTGCTATGTTCTGTGCAATTTGGAGGCCACAACTGGTTGTGAGCACCCTCCTGCAGAGCTGTCTCACAAAGGAGAGGAGACACATTATAGTGTTGCAGAGTGCGGCTGTGGGGACGACCTCTTGAATAAATGGCACTGAGATAAGCAGACATCCAAGCAGGGAAATAATGGAACTCGATCCCTATTGCCCATCACATACAGCAGTCCTCTTGGGTTGTAGATTTAAGTGGGAAAAGCAAAATCTAAAAATTTCCCCAAAGAGGGCCGGCCAAATAGCTCAGCGGATTAAAGCGCCTGTAAGCAGGCACAGGGGCCGGAGGTTCAATCCCCAGGCCTGCCGTGCTGGCCCCACCCCCAAGGCACTATGAGAAGGCAATTGAGACTGGGCCTGGTGGCACACGTCTGTAATCCTCACTCTTGGGAGGCTGTAAACAAGCAGATGACTACAGGTCTGATTTAGCAGTGAGACCCTGAACACCCTGTAGACCCTTCCCTTTAAAAAAAAAAAAAAAAAAAAAAATTCCCCAAAGGTTGGGTGTGGTAGCACAAGTATATGTATGTGCGTGCATGCGTGCGCGCGTCTGCGCACACACGCACACACACACACACACCCCTTATAATCCCAATGGAGGCCAAGGCAAGAGGATTTGAGATCATCCTGGCTACAAAGTGAGCTCAAGGCCAGTCTGAGCTGCATAGCGAGACCCTGTCTCAAAAGGACAAAAGAAACAAACCAACCTTACACAAGACTGTAAGACAGTTGTCATGATTCCAGGTCAGAGAAAAACTTCCAGGTTTTTTGTTTGTTTTGCTTTTCAGATAGGGCCTAGGTACCACATGGTTCAAAATGGTCTTGGACTCACTACAATCCTCTTGCCTCTGCCTCCTGAGTGCTGGGATTATAAGTAGATGCCATGACACGCAGCTGTGAGAAAGACTTCTTAATACATATACTGCATTGGCCATAAAAGCTGATACATTTGGCTATAATTAAATTAGGGATTTCTGTCCTGCAGTCATGGCACATGCCTGTAATCCTAGCACTCAAGAGGTTTAGACAGGAGGATCACTGCGAGTTTAGGGTCAGCCTTACAGCCTGGGCTACATAGCGAGTTCAAGGCCAGCCCAGCCCAAACTACATAGCAAGACCTGGTTTTTAAAAAGGCGATAGACATACAATCTGAAGAGAAACCAGAGTATCAGAGACCTGTTGTTTTTTTTTTTAATCTCTGTACTTCAAAAAACATTAAGTTGGTGATTGTCTATTAGCTATAAAAGGGTTTGTTTAGGCCTCAGATTATTCTTTTGAATTTATCATCCACATTTCAAAATTAAGCTTTTTTTCTATTTTAGGGAAGGGTCTACAGGGTGTTCAGGGTCTCACTACTAGATAGGGCTTGTAGTCATCTGCCTGTTTACAGCCTCCCAAGAGCTTGGATTACAGGCTTACACTACCACACCCAGTTGAAAATTAAGCTTTTTCAATTAAAATGTAGAGTTTTCTTTTGAAAAGGCAGAAAGACTTGGCATACAAGGCCTGCAATTTCTCAGGGCATCCACTGGGACCTGGGAAGAACTGCACCTCTTCAGGGGGTGTGTTCCCTCCAAAACACACAGCTCCAAAGGACTCTGGTTTACAAAGTCTGCCTAGGGGTGGAGAAGTAGCTCGGAGGCACAAGTGCCTGCCTGGCAAGTGCAAGGTCCAGAGTTCAATCCCCAGTACCAAAACAAAAACAAAAACACCTGACCAAAGTCTGCCTGGCAAGACAAAGTCTGCCTGGCAAGACTCTGGATTTGGTTAGTTGTATTTAGCTTTGGAGCTACCACGTGTGTGGGATGCCTGCTAGGAAAACGGACTGGGCTTATGCGAGAGAACAAGGAAGGCTCTTGCTTTAGACTGATTGGGGCAGCAAGGGGGCACGTGGGCTGCAGCCAGCAGGCAGGGCACCGAGGGGCTGCAGGCCATTTGGGACCCCACAAGCCACGGGCAGAGGGCTGGGCCCAGGGGTGGCCCACAGCCTGCTTCGTGAGGTTGCACAGTCCTTGCTAATGATCAAGTGCGAGGGAAGGTACAGGGACCCAACAGTCCACAGGTGCCTCATTTGCCAGCGCCTGACAGGCACCTGGACTGGTACACGGGGACAATGAGAAGTCTGAGGTGTGGGGTAGACAGGATCTGGAGCTTTCTTTTTATGTTTGGAGACATGACTGCCATGAAAATAAGAAACCTGCAGAAATGGGACTAAATTAACAACCGGATCCAGGATAATGAGCTTTCTGGGGCACTGGTCCCTGACAGCCCCATGTGCTCGCTGTGCTCTGCAGCTCTGGAGACAATCCCCCTTTGCTTTCCAAGTGACCTGCTTTCTTCCTGTCACCATGCAGTCTTCAGAGCCAGTCTCATTTCTCTGCACCCTACAGATCTCTTCAAAGAGAGCCTGGCACAAAGGGGACACACGGGGCATGGGGAATAATATGAAGATGGGCTCTAGTGACTGTTGTTACGTGGCAAGCATTCCCTTTGTAAGGGAACAGCCGAAGCGGGAGAATTCTCATGCTAAATGCCAGCATGAAATAACACCAGCATTTCCTGATTCTTTGTGTTTCTCCATTTTTACAACAGGTATCATATTCATCAAAAAAGAGACCATATTTTCCAGGGCTTACAAAAAAGAAACATGGCGTGGAAAATACCCTCCGAAGGTCAGAAGTGACAGTAGGAAAGCTTCAGATGCAGGTAGTGTGTCTGCTGTGTCTCAGAAGCAGCAGAGGGCCAGGCAGTAACGGCCACGCGGTCCTGCCAGGCAGCAGGGACGCAAGCACAACTAACCATTAGCAGGCAAAGAACTCTAGCGGGGGGCGCTCTGAGAGTGGCTGAAGGGCTGCCCAGGGCGCCAGACGGCGCTGCAGCCTAGTAAGTGTTAAGTGAATCCCCCTGACATGCAGGCATACGTGCACGGGAGTCCTCACCCCTGGGTGGGAAGTATGTGTCCAAGCTCTATTTGCTACGGCTTGAGTTGGAGCAACACTGGGAGCCTTGCAAGATGTCCCTGACCCCTGAGGTCGCTCAGGGAAGGCAGCTCCCTCGTGGGCTTTGCCGTCTTGCTGACACAATTTCCTCGACCTGTCACAGGTAGACGACCTTATAGAAACAGTGACCGATAAATCTATGAAACTGCTGGCCCAAAGACATGCGGAGCTGCAGCACTGCAAGTTCCTAGGCGACGAGATCCTCCAGTCTTCCAAGCAGTTCCAGAGGATATCCAAGAGAACCATGAGGAAGTACAAACTGAAAAGTGCGTGCTTCCCGTGCACCTGCTGCTGCTTGTGACTCCTCCACAGGAGTGATTTTTTATAGGGATTCTTACCTTTTGATACATTCTCTGGAATAAATCTCTGTAGTGAATTAATAAGTAGGGGTTTTTAAAAAAGAAGTCTAAGGGCCTGAAAGATAGCTCAGTGGACTAAGCGCCTGCTTAGGCAAGCACAGGGACCAGAGTGACCGGTACCACACGCCATGCAGCTCCACCCCTGGATACACTGAGACTGGGCGTGGTGGCGCACCCCTGTAATCCCAGTGCTGGGGAGGCTGAGACAGGAGGATGATTGTGAGTCCAAGCTGCATAGTGAGACCTTCTACCAAATAAATACAAAAAATAAAAAAGAATAGTCTGTCCAACAGTTCTTGCAAAAAAGATCTTTTCTCAAAAACTGATCTTTAATTGTGAGTCTATATAAACAAGATGTTTTCCTTTTTTTTTTTTTTTTTTGCTGCATAATCCTTATTAACAATGGGAAACAGAAACATTTCTGAAGGCACAGCAATTCTATAAAATTCCTCCCATAATGATTTGCCAGATGAAATAAGGGGAAGCATTTAAAGGTATTTTGACACCTTTAATATGCGTATTACTGAGGTAATTTTAAACTTTCAGTTTTAAAGCTAAAAATTTTTATTAAAATTACAAAAATGGGGCTGGCGAGATGGCTCAGTGGTCTAAAGCACCTACTTGTAACAAGCTTGGCAAAGCAGAGGACCGCGGTTTGATCCCCCAGCACCACATGCCAGCCAGCCCCGCCCCCTGGTGGGCTGAGCTGGCCACACACACACACACAAAATAAATAAATAAATGTTTAAAAAAATAAAATAAAATTACAAAAATGTGTCCTAGTTAAGGTATGACACACATGGAGTGTCACATCTCTGAACTAAAATAAATGTGTAATAATGGAACCTAAGAAGTACTGTACACGTGTGTGATTCAACCCTTAAAACTACAAGTGATCCTGCCTTACCTCAATTTTTACAATCATCACGAAATCCTTTTAGCAGACAGTCATAACAGACTACCCCAAGCAACTCTGCTTTTATTAGTACATTTTCTCTATTGAAAGTATAGAAAGAAAGCACACCCACGAGCCACCTGACAGTCCCCTTCCTCAAGCACAGAGAGGCAGGCGGCGGCGCCATGGGCTTCCTCGGCACCTCGCAGGTAACGCTCCCCAGTGAGCCTCAGGGTCAGGAAGACTGCCCTCCAGAGACACTCTGCACCTGGCTGTGCGGGCCTGTGGTCCCTCTGAAACCTAGGCATGCACTTTGTGTTCAGCGATGGCCAGGCACAGCCTAATTTTCTCACGGATATCCTAAAATGCTGCCTTCTTGCAGCCATCAACCTGTGTGATAAAGCAACCGACACGACCAGTGCATGACGGCCGGGCTACTGAGCAGCACAGATATCCAGCTTTAGGCACACTTTATTAGACATATTTCAGTGTTGCTTTCTGTCTTGTAAGAATAAAAAATTCAATTAAAAAAATACACTGAAGTCATTTTCCTTTGTGTGAAGCCATGAGGTGAGAATGTTTAAAAGCAAAGCACTTACTGCCAAAACTTAAAAATACTGCCACAGCACAACTATGAACACACTAAGATCACGGAGCTATTTGAATATTCTTGGGAAAGGTGAGCGGTGAACCTGCTATGGCTTAGGATCCATTTCTAGGCTTGTCTCTTGAGCTTCTTCTACTTCTGAGAGCTTTTCATCATCTATAATTGAGAAAGAAACACAAAGTTTTAGTCAAAGTTTTGCCTAAAATTTACATTTAGTGTATATATGAAAATATTTCTTTTATTAGACAACACATTAAAAGCAAGGATAGACAAAATGCATGTCTCACATAAATGTTTCTTTAAAAAATAGGGTTTAGGGCTGGCCAGATAGCTCAGCGGCTTCTAGCACCTGCAAGCTGGCGCAGGGGCCGCGGGTTCAGTCCCCAGGCCTGCTGTTCCGGCCCCACCCCCGGGAGAGCTAAGACGGCAACTGAGACTAGGCGTGGCGGTGCGTGCCTGTAATCCCAGCTCTTGGGAGGCTGTAAACAGGCAGATCACTACGAGTCTGATCTACTAGTGAGACCCTGAAC